GTGTTCTCATTTGAACACATATATATATATATATATATATATATATATATATATATATATATATATATATATATATATATATATATATATATATATATATATATATATATATATATAGTAATGATCCGGTCAGGAGTTCCTGACCGGAACCGCCGTCCGGACCGCGGCGTTTGGCCGCCTTCCCGGTGGCTTTTTTTGATGAAAGTTTTAAGACATGTTCTCCATCAAGTCTAGTTTATCCACAAAAACAATTCAGCCAAAAACTCAATCGGGAAGGTCGTCAAATGATTTTTGCAAGTTAACTGGTCCGGAAAATACATATTCCGGACCAGTTAACTTGCAAAAATTATTTGACAACCTTCCCGATTGAGTTTTTAGCTGATTTTTTGTGTGGATAAACTAGACTTGATGGAGAACATGTAATAAAAATTTCATCAAAAAAAGCCACCGGGAAGGCGGCCAAACGCCGCGGTCCGGACGGCGGTTCCGGTCAGGAACTCCTGACCTGAACATTTGTGTGTGTGTGTGTGTGTGTGTGTGTGTGTGTGTGTGTGTAGGGGTGAGATCACATGCAAACTAGTTCTCCCTTGCTAACCTACAAACTACCACAAACTATGCATCTTTACATTATATGTACTGCATATTGAAGTTCAAAGTGTTGCATATTATTTGTACCGCATATTAAAGTTCAAATTGTTGCATATCATTTGTATTGCATATTGAAGTTCAAAGTGCTGCATATTATTGAGTTTGTAGGTTAGTATTTTAAGCATGGTTTGCATTTGATCTCTTATCTACATATATATATATACATATATTATATTGATCTCTTATATATATATATATATAAGGGTGTTTAGAATGTGATAATTTATTATTATTATAAAAAGGAGCTTACTATTTATATTCTCTTATTGTCTCGTGCATTGTGATAATTTATTATGGATTAAAACAATGTGGAGTCAAATCTAGTATAATGTTCATTTGTTATGTGGAAAAGGTTTCATTAGTTTATACTTTTATTTAATTAATACGGAGTATATTTATGGCGATTTTGCAATATTTTTTCCTTTTGTTTTATATATCTGTGTGAACTGTGAACCTATTATTTTTAGGTGACTTGTATTTTATTTCAATTTTAGAAAAAATGCACTTATCAGAGTTATCACTGCTTATAAACTAAGTGTGATGAATTATTAACTTATTATATTGTAATAAATTTGTTCAAATATTCAATATTGATGAGTCACTAATAATTATATCGTCATTCACATGGAGTGAGATACGTTGTACAATATACGAAGTACATCATTGGCAAATCAAGCTTCATAGTGTGAGTGTCTAATGCATGTGGATTGTGAAGAAATTGTTAATGAGTCACTAATAATAATCATTTTCAACAAATCAAACCGATGTTCATAGTACTTAATACTTCGCATATGTCGAACATGATGTGTCCTTTTATAATGTGATGTATACACTCAAACATCAAACTTGACTAAATCTCAAATTATGCAGTTCGTTTACAATATTGGTTAGGGTATGAAATAGTAGTAGGTGAAATTAAACTTGAATAAGTCAAGTCTTTATTAAGATGACAATAGTTCAACTCTAATCATTTGCAAATGCTAAATGATGTCAAATAGCTACCTCTTACGAAAAAGATTAGGAAATATTCAAGTTGTTGCTTACGTGGTTTAAACAAGGTGCAAGGAATGTCATAAGTCTAATACTTTTTTCCAAAAGGTGGAATCTCCCACCCCAGGAGCCCCCACACCCGACCCGACAGGACGGTGAACGAGTAAGTCACGGTTCATAATCTAATACTTAGTGTTAGCATCATGTCCGATTCAGATCTTTTTCATGTATCCACGTGATTGACATTGAACAATATATACATCTTATTCAACTATACTAGTTACTCCACCCAGGGCCGGTCCTGGGGCATGGGCAAAGGGGCATGCGCCCAGGGCCCATTGCTCCCTTAGGGCCCATAAATTTCCCAATTACATATATATATACACACATATATACATATGTATTTTAAATTTATATACATTATATTATTTATAAAAATTTAAAATGAAATAAAACTTATAATTTTTTTGATACTTTCAATTTGAGTAAAGGGTTAGTTTGGTCCTCGAAGTTGCAAAAAAGGGGTCAGATAAGTCCTTATATAGAAGATTTTGTCCGGACGTGCCATTTGAGGTGGCTCCCGGTGGAATTTTTTGATAATTTTTTTTGAACATATTATTCATTAAGTCTAGTTTACTCATACCAAATTTTAGCTAAAAATTCAATCGGGGGGACATTCAAATGAATTTTTGAAGATAACCGTGCTTTTAACGGCACAATTATCTTCAAGAATTGATTTGAATGTCTTCCCGATTGATTTTTTATATAAAATTTGGTATGAGTGGACTAGACTTAATGAATAATATGCTCAAAAAATTCATCAAAAAATTCCATCGGGAGCCACCTCAAATGGCACATCCGGACAGAATCTTCTATATAAGGACTTATTTGACCCCCTTTTTTGCAACTTCGAGGACCAAACTGCCCCTTATCCCCTTTCAATTCTTTATTAGTAACATTTACAAGATACAAGTCTAAAGTTTTAGTTTGTATCATCCACACCATAATTAATTGGGAATAAAATTCATCATTACTTTGGATTCATTAAGGGTTAGCGCATAAATGTCAATCTTTCCATTTACTTCTCTCATGTAATTCCGTGATTCATTGATAGGATTTTGCTAATTTCTTTTGGCTCTCTCATGTAAGTGAAAGAATGAATTATAATATTCAGAATTTAGAACCTTGTAGTTTGTTCTAATCTAGTGAAAACATGATTTAAAATATGAAAACATTACTCCATAAATGACATAACTTTCACGTCTTTCACTAATTCAAAATTCTATATTGCAAGTAACAATTGCACTACTTAATTTCACGTACATTTTTTTTATAAAAAATTATAAACATTCTCACGTTGTTCGCAAGGCCTACTTTTTATGTATTGTCCCGGGCCCATAAAATGTCAGGACCGGGCCTGACTCCACCCGTGCATTGCACGGGAATGAAGTGCCGATATGGAAATAAATAAATCACATTGAATAAGTTTTGAAGCAAGATATCATTCTAATAGAAAATTAAGAAACAAATTGTAGAAATTAGATGGTAAGCATCATACGATGAAAAAATGTGCATGTAATTTCATGAAATTATCAATGAAAGCTAAAAATTATTATAGATTCCTTTGTATACAACATTCAATTAGATGGACCTAAACTCCCGAGATCATCGCTACATACGTACAGTTGTCCATTAACAAATGTTCATTTAAGGGTATGCTAATAGAAGTCTATATCATTAAACTAATATTCAAACATGTAACGCAGGTAGTATAAAAAAACACATACATGTCAATTTTGTATAACAAATAATCACAAAATCTTTGCAATTTTTTGCAAAACTTGAAAAGACATATACATAAGACCAATGTCATTGATCTAATTTAAGTTTAACTTTATCAAAGTTTTTGGGATTGTATGCTCCATTGTAGTTCATTTTATTTAGCAATTTTACTGATTTCTTTTTAATAAGATTAAAATTGCCTTTGGGTCCTTTTTAATTAGCAATTGTAGTTCATTTTAATTAAAAATTTTACCGGTGATACTTTTCGTTAAAGTTTATGATCTTCTATATAAGCATAGGGATTGTAAAAATTGTTTAATTATTGTCTCATAGGTGAGTGACAAACATTCTAGAGTATTCACCAATTTACTACTCATGAAATACTCTCAAACTTTACATATTTGGCATGTGTTTTGAAATATCAACTAAAATTTCAATCGCAAATGCAGTCAAATGAATTTTTGAAGATAACTGCACAGTTAAACAACGCAGTATATTTCAGAAAATCACTTGACTGCCTTTCCGGTTAATTTTTATCTGAAATTTGGTATGAGTAAACTAGACTTAATGAAGAAGATGCTCAAAAAAATTCATCAAAAAATTCCACCAGGAACCGCCCCAAACGGCGACGTCCGGACAGAACCTCCTATATAAGGGGGTGATTTGCACTTTTTATGTAAGTTCAAGAGTTTATTTGATAGTTTTCCCTAAAAAAACAAAGCTCCGATCACGCACTGGACAATTTTTTGGGAGTAAAACATCGTAGTCCGCATCATTTAGTCCCCTTTATGTGAAATCGACATTTTTAGTTCTTCTACTGTGGTTTCATCACGAAAAGTGGATCACAAAAAATGTCAACGAATGTGTTTGACAATCAGCGATTGGCTGCTAGTTGATAGTCAGTTGAATAAGCAGATTGATACTAACAAATTCTGTTAATTGTTTTGATTAACCACTTTCATTAGCAGGGAAAGTAAAATGTTTGCGATTAAAGATTACGATGTAAATTGACTATTAAGAATATGAATATTAAATTATATAATTAGCTTAACTTTATTTATTTTTTTAATAAATTTTGGAAAAAGTTTTAAAAATTATATTTACTTTTATTTTATATAACTACTACTACTATCATTTTTAACACATGTTCATTTACACGAACACAGACATATACATTCATTTATTTTTATTATTAATATTTTAAATATGACTATTTTGTTAGTTTTTAAATGCTACTTCACATAAAGTAGCAAAAATATTCATACTAAATAGTGAAGTATTCATAATGATTTTATGGAATAGAATGTTTTAGATACTAGTATAAATTTTAGTTTTCACATTACTTAGAGGATTAAATGTTTGAAATTTTAAGTTCGGGAATTAAAATTATCTTACTCACAAAAAATTGACCAGTTTGTCACAAGAGTTGCGTTTTTTTTACCAATTTGTCTCCGGATATTTTTTAATACCAATTTGATAAACCATTCTTTTGTTTTACCAATTAATACCAATTCTTTTTGTTATTACAATCACCAAAATACGAAGAGTAGTATTTTTGTAAAAAGAAAATCATTTCAATCACACCTTCATCCTTATATCAATTTACCATCATGGTGCTTGAACCAAGCCGTCCATAACCCAACAGTATACCTACACGGGAACCCTGTAAGCCCAGAATTCAACTTTATAGGCCCATATCATTTACATGATATACCGGTTTCCTCATTCTACGCGGCCCATTACAGAAACCCTGGCTCTAACCCCTCCGCCATTATCTCACACCTATCTTCTGCGCCGCCCATAAGCCATTAGCTCTAAACAATGACGACGCATTTGAAGAAAAACAGGAAGAAGAGAGGCCATGTTAGCGCCGGCCATGGCCGTATCGGGAAGCACCGGAAGCATCCGTCGGGTCGCGGTAACGCCGGAGGAATGCACCACCATCGGATCCTCTTCGACAAGTACCATCCGGGATACTTCGGAAAGGTCGGTATGAGGTATTTCCATAAGCTGCGAAACAAGTTCTACTGCCCTACTCTCAACATCGATAAGCTCTGGTCACTCGTCCCCGAGGAAGTCAGATCCAAAGCTTCCAAGGACAAAGTTCCGATGATTGACGTCACGCAATTCGGATACTTTAAACTCCTGGGCAAGGGCGTGCTCCCGAGCAACCAGCCTGTGGTGGTGAAAGCCAAGCTTGTTTCGAAGATCGCGGAGAAGAAGATCAAGGAGGCAGGTGGGGCTGTTGTTCTTACAGCGTAGATTCGTTTCAATTGATTTGAGTTTTTATTATTATGTTGTTTTAATTGTTACACAAGCTTATGGAACAGATTTTCTACAATTTACCCATGCTTTGGAGTTTAATCTGCAATATTATCACAAACACATGCTTATCTTTGATTTCTGGAATGTTTTTTCATTTTGTTTCCTCGGATCATTATCATGCCAGTAACAGATTACGATTCGAATTTGAGAATTGGTCTGTACGTTTTTTGAACTGGCCAGTCTTTAGCGCTTACGAAATTTGTAGCCCATTAATGTATTAGGCATCCATGCTTGCTCATCTGTTGTGGGAAGTTTCAAAAATAGAAAAAAGATATTCTGGGAAATAAGAGCCAAAGTTTTTGAGAAGGAGATGAGCACAATTGTTCATGACATCTTCTGAATTTGTAAAAATTCATCTGAGAAGAATTTTATCGTTACTTCTTTAGTCTTTATCATTTCTGATTCTGTGAAGCCACCTATAGCTTCTGGCTTGAGTTGTCCATTGAAGTCCTGGCTTCTTAAAACATATTACCCTAATAGATGAAAAATCTAAAAATGCATATCGAATGCAATCTGAAAAGAAAGCTGGAAAAAAGAAACAAATAGATACGTAAATAAGAAATATTGAAGATAGATTACATATTTTTTTGTCAAGTTAAAGGACAATGCTGTTTGGGGTACTTTTGTTGCTTGAAAAAAATGTCATATGATCATTGCTGGGTTATGGCACTGACATCAAATTTTCCATGCCCCTTATTTTGTTATGATTGAAAGTATTTGATGAAAATGAAATCAAATTTTATTCGAAAAAGAAGAGTTCAAAATAAAAAGGGGACCAGATCAAAATGTAATGCCAAATCCTAAAGAAGAACATGCCTGGTGGCATGACCAAATGGAATAGTTTAAAACAAAAGGGTCACTCAAAGGGTAATTCTAAATTTCTAACCTTAAGGTATGACCAAATGCATTTTTTTTTTGCAAACTAACAAAACTCTGAAAATAAGTCTTTACCGCCGTTTTCTATTTTGTATGGAAAATTGCATATTATAAACTGTCATATTAATATCCTAAGTAAGGAAGCATGGTACCAGATAATTAAAATTGAAAAGCTAAGCAATTGACCACACCTTGTATACCTCTGGAGAGTAGTATATGCTGACACATTTAGCCCCTAGCAGTAGTCTTGGACTCGGGTTTGGTTCGGGCCTCGACCCGGCCGGGCCTATTTTTTTTGCTGTGGAACCGAGACCGGCCCGGTGGTTAGCCGGTCACGGGCCGGGCCGGGCCAGCCGCCCGGGTCGGGCCGATTACAATTTTTTTTCCTTTTTTTTTTCCTACTTATTTCTACAAATGCGGCATATTAAAAAAACTTCAAGTGCATTTATTTGAAATAGGAACTACATTTGAGAATTGAGAAAAAAAATTACAATATGAAATACATTTTCTAATAAATAATAATAATATAATACGGAGTATATAATAATCAATCGGAATTTCTGCCACCGTTGGTCATTGGTCCATTTGTATTTCATGCATTTTTACTGTTATATAAACCCTTACTATTGTTAAGGCTACACAAAGTTATTATATGTTACGTTGTTGTTATCACTCGATTCAAAATAGATTCTTTTAAAGTAATAGATGTTAGATTCGTGAGGCAGAGATTTTTCTATTATACCAATTTGTGAACAATGATCCTTTTAATGATTTTTCTATTATATCAATTGGTGAGCAATCATTGAATATTGAATATTCATAAATAATTACTCTAAATACACCAAAAACGTTTAGAAATTTCAAAGTACTACGTATATTTTTATAAACCTGAGCCAATTGGATGGCTAAATCACATGGATTAGCTAAACCAGTCAACCTCGAATACATTATATCAAAAAAGTATGTTGGGATTATCATTCGCGTAAGATGAAAATTGGTTTGGGATTGAAACTATATCATACCAAGAAATTTGTGTCACTAATATTTGGTGGAGGGTGAGGAATGACCAACCGGCTGATCTTATATCTGAATCATGAAAAGTGATACACAATAAGGCTAACAAGTTGTACTATGAACATTAAGACCTATAAATTGTTCCAAAACGGGTTCGGGTTCATCTTTAAAAACAATCTGATCCAATCTGCGATAATATTAGATTGTTAGACTATTATTATGCAACAAATATAATATGGAGTATAAACTAACGGGAAGGAGAGAGGGATGGGATGGGGGTGGTATGTTCATCCCGAAGAAGAAAGAATCAGGTAAGAAAGAAAGGTGGGAGGAGGGAGGTGACCTGAATAAAAAAAGGGAAAAGAGAAGGAAAAGAAAAGAAAAAGGCAAAAAATGACATATGAACTCTACATCAACCAAAAATTTTATGGAACCCTATATGACTCCACTATGGAGTCATATAGCACATGCCGCATTATCAATATCATTCATTTCTATAGTGGATTTATAGTGGAGAACCCTACTTCATGAATGAATGATTGTGATGGTGACACATGTGCTATATGACTCCATGGTGGAGTCATATAGGACTCCATAAAATTTCCCCTACATCAACAGAGTCACTGGCTAATCGAGAATCAACCGGCTATATTACAAATTTGACGGTTTGGCATAGATCACAAACTTAATTGGTGTTTTTTTAGTTCAAGAACTTAATTGGCCTTTTAGTATACTTTGAAAGCCGATTTGACGGTTTCCCCTAAACTAATAGAAGCGATCAATTATATTAGATTATCTATATTACTGTATCTAACAAATATAAATTAATAGAAGTGAGCGACCCGTGCAACGCACGGGTGAAGTTACTAGTTAAACTAACAACAAAGAGGAAGACGTAAATGCCCTCTACTACCATTTATTTGATCGCATATCATCACATATTTTGAATGGTTATGATTTTTTTTTGTAAAGAAAACTTTTATTAATGAAGAAGCAAATGGGAGGACAAAGAAATAAAAAAACATGGAAAAACCAAAGAAAAGGAAAGCAGACAAAACTACTACAATCAACGAAATTAAAAAAACCCAACCCTAATTATTTGAGATCCGTTTCAAAATATCTCTAGTACTCATTCAAGTCTTCAAATCCACTCTTGTTAGGATTTGTTCTCACTTCTCACATTAAGGGGTGTTCTCATTTGAACATATATATATATATATATATATATATATATATATATATATATATATATATATATATATAGTAATGATCCGGTCAGGAGTTCCTGACCGGAACCGCCGTCTGGACCGCGGCGTTTGGCCGCCTTCCCGGTGGCTTTTTTTTATGAAAGTTTTAAGACATGTTCTCCATCAAGTCTAGTTTATCCACAAAAACAATTCAGCCAAAAACTCAATCGGGAAGGTCGTCAAATGATTTTTGCAAGTTAACTGGTCCGGAAAATACATATTCCGGACCAGTTAACTTGCAAAAATTATTTGACAACCTTCCCGATTGAGTTTTTAGCTGATTTTTTGTGTGGATAAACTAGACTTGATGGAGAACATGTAATAAAAATTTCATCAAAAAAAGCCACCGGGAAGGCGGCCAAACGCCGCGGTCCGGACGGCGGTTCCGGTCAGGAACTCCTGACCTGAACATTTGTGTGTGTGTGTGTGTGTGTGTGTGTGTGTGTGTGTGTGTAGGGGTGAGATCACATGCAAACTAGTTCTCCCTTGCTAACCTACAAACTACCACAAACTATGCATCTTTACATTATATGTACTGCATATTGAAGTTCAAAGTGTTGCATATTATTTGTACCGCATATTAAAGTTCAAATTGTTGCATATCATTTGTATTGCATATTGAAGTTCAAAGTGCTGCATATTATTGAGTTTGTAGGTTAGTATTTTAAGCATGGTTTGCATTTGATCTCTTATCTACATATATATATATACATATATTATATTGATCTCTTATATATATATATATATAAGGGTGTTTAGAATGTATTTTTTTCTAGTCGCAGCCGCAACCATTGTCCCTTAGCTTAGGGTTCGGAGTTTCCGCAGACCGTTGCCTGGGGTCGTGCGGCTTTCGTCATTCAATTTTCAGCCGATTAACACTGTGCAGACGAGTGTGAGGAGCAGATTGCCCGTTCACAGGTCTTGCAAGGGAGAGCTTTACACGCAGTTTCTCTTCGGTTGAAGAATCAATCATGAAGGTTGCGGCCATGAAGTTTTGTGTTACTTTTTCCTCTTCTTGTGCATGTTATTGTTTTACCACAAGGGTTACAGCCACGAGGGTTTACGGTGCGAGAGTTGTAGGGCATGACGACGAAGATGATGACCGCTAGCGGTGATTTGGGCTCGAGTGTGGGATGAGGAGAGTCGCACGGGTTTTGACTAGGCCATATTTCGATCGACAATGGAGGATCAATTAGAGAGGTACCAATAGTACGGCCTCCTCCTAATCCACCGCCATGAGTTGCGCGAGAGGCTAGAGTTCGTGAAAGTTTTCTAATAAGTTTTCATTATTTTGTCATTTGGTTTCTTGTTGTCGTCTACGTTGTTAGGTTTGTCAGTTGTTTGGGAATTTAGCCTGATTTTATGAACCAAGCATTCCAGCCTAGCTGGTTGTGAGGTACCGTGCCTAGTGAGAGGTTCGAGTTCGAAATCCACTAGACACATAAGGGTTCGAAACTCAATGGAGTGAGTTTCTGACCTGATTACTCCAGGCCACCAGACCCCCTGGATTAAAAAAAACAAAAAAAAACCTGATTTTATGTCATTGAGTATGTTTGGATCTATGGGAACATGGATGACTGCGTTAAGCCCGTTACACGGTTAGCGATTTGTGTTGCTAAGGTGACCATTACTAAGTTTGATCATAAGATTTACAGTCGTAGTTGTTGGAGTCTAGTTGGTATCAGATTTGTTTTTCCTTTGATTGATGTAATGATTCTGAAACTTATGATATGAATAAAGGCTAATTTTCGATGATAAAAAATGTATTTTTTCTACATTCTGATATATATTGGTAGTGAAACATATAGTAAAAAAAAGTGAGATAACAAAATAGTTATCAAATAGGATATAAAATATATAGAGACTATACATTTAATTGCAGAGCCATAACTAGGGAAGGGTTAACTCTGGCATCAGGCCAGCCCAAATTTAAAAAACGTTTATATTTTTAATGTAAAAATTTCTTTGTAATTTCCCCCCCCCCCCCAAATATTCTTTTCACCGACGCAGTCCAACTTAGTGTCCTGACTCTAACTCTATTTACCATAACAGAAAAGATCAGATCAAATCAAAGAAAACCTATTGAAGCACGGATACTTCGCTAGGGTCGCGTATCGGCGTATCCGATACGTTCCCGTATCCGATACTCTAGGATACCCGTACCGTACGTTCCCGGGCCGTATCTGCAATTTTTAAAAGTTTCCATTTTTTTTTGTAATTTATTGAAAGTTTCCGATACTCGTATCCTGACGGATACTCGTATCAACTTTTAAAAAAAATCCCAAAATTTACTTAATAAAATTCTAAAAAAATGAAAATCTAAAACTACATTTTACTTGGTAATCAAATAATGGGCCTATATGGCTATATCCGAATTAAGTGATTAACTCATACTCCGAATTGGATACTTGCACTTTTAATTTCAAGATTGTAGTTGTTTGACTTATTTCTCATTTTAAATTAATGACTTATTGACTATATTTATATTTCGAGATGACTAGTGTATATGAGAAATATTATGAATTTATTACTAAGTACTCCCTCCGTCCCTCAATACTTTGCCAAGTTTGACCGGCACGGGGATTAATAAAGTAAAAATTGTGTGGTTGAGGTTTGTGCAGAGGATAGAGAATTAACTGGAACCACAAATTCTTTACTTAAAAGGGAAAGTGACAAAGTTATTGGGACGTCCAAAAAAGAAAAGTTGGCAAAGTTATAAGGGACGGAGGGAGTATCTTGAAAAGGGAAAATGCTTCAAAGCAATGAATAGGTAGACATCTTAGGATATTATATGTATATATATATATTTTTAAAAAAATCTATTTTTAATATTTATAAATAGACCCCTATAACTTTTAGTATTTGTAAATACACCCCCATAACTTTTAATATTTATAAATATGGCCCCATATCCGTATCCTACCTTTTTTGGTTTTGACGTATCCCCGTACCCGTTTCCGCGTTTCTGCGTTCCCGCGTACCGGTATCGGTGCTACATAGATAGAAAACTAAACCAGATCTAACCAAACCAAAAATTTAATTTCAAATAAAAATATCCTTATTTTTTGGACCGCTCGCAAAAAATACGTAGTATATTCTCTTCTTCACATGGTGAAGGTGAACTACTGATGTTAAACGGTGTGGCTATCAATTCCTTCACTAGTTCCTTCCTGCTTCCGCCGCTTTTGCTCTTTGCACATCAAGAATCTCAGCAAGCTTCATTCATTCAAGGTCTCTCCGCACTAATTATTAGTAGCCTAGTAAATACATCTAATCTATTTGATTCTTTGCTTTTGTTGCCCAACTCTAAGTTAGGCGTTCATAATAATCGGCGCCTCCTTTGTTCAATATCCAATTTCACATTCCCAGTCTCCTGCCTTGTTCCTAACTAAAAGATTCTACCTTTCAAAATATCTTTTTTGTCCTCCCTGCTGGTTTCTCTGTGGACATGCGGGGTTTTCATTATTTAGTTTCGTAGCAAAGCAAGCGGAAGTTCGTTCAGGAATCTATTGACCTTTGAAGCCAATCAAGAAGGCGTGCGCTTTGTGTATTAGGAGTTTTAGTTTCCTTGAAATGCCTGGATTTGCTCCTAACTTAGCTAGCTAGATGCAATAAGAAATGGGATCTGCAAGTGAGTTCCACTGTTGGGGAGACTTCAATTTGGACTCCAAGTGGGTGGTTGATCCAAAACTTCTCTTTGTTGGGCCCAAGATTGGAGAGGGCGCTCATGCCAAAGTCTATGAGGGAAAGTGAGTTGATCTTCTTTTATGGTACTTCCTCCTTAAAATCTTGATATTTGGATTGTGTTTATGCAAAGAAGGAGAGTTCATAAATGACAAGTATAAAGTTGTTCTCTTTAAACGTTCTTGGGTTGCTTATGCTGCATTAATATTCACAGAAAGGCCAGTGCGGCAATTCCGTGATTTTTCATTTCTAATAGAGATGGTTTCTTGTTCTTTTGTCTGTTCTTTGGACTCCTTGCAGATACAAAAACCAAAATGTAGCTATCAAAATTGTTCATAAAGGGGAGACACCGGAGGAGATTAGTAAGAGGGGTTCCCGGTTCGCAAGAGAGGTTGCGATGTTATCCAGAGTTCAACACAAGAACTTAGTGAAGGTTTTATATGTTTATTAATTATTTATTTTATTATTTATGTATTTATTTACATTCAAGCAGTTGTCCTTGTTTCGATGTAACAATTTTGAAATATTGAAATTCTATTGTGTACAGTTTATTGGTGCTTGTAAGGAGCCTGTAATGGTTATTGTTACTGAACTGCTTCTTGGAGGGACACTGAGAAAGTACTTGATTAACATGCGACCAAGGTGCTTAGATGCGCGTGTTGCAATTGGATTTGCTCTTGATATTGCTCGTGCCATGGAATGTCTACACTCCCATGGAATCATACACCGTGACTTGAAACCAGGTATAAGTTAATCTTCATCATCCATTTTACCTATGGGTTTATTGAGTCCTTAGCTTTCTATTTTAGCATGGTACTTGAAGCATTTTCTAAAACTTTTGTTTGAGAGATTTTGGTGGCCCTGAGAGTGAATGGGTGATCTCTATTTTATTTACTTGTTCTTACACTTAGCTAGTTGGAGAGAAAGGGAGATATAAAATAAACAGACACTCCCTCCATCCACTATGTTTGGGACATGAGAAAGTGGCAGTGAGAAACATTTATAAGTGGAGCTATGTGGTTGATATTTTGTAAATTATGAATGAATGAATTAATGGACCGAATTAGGAAATATGTGACAAAGGTAGTTGGATGAAGTAGTTATTTTCTTGTTAAGGTCCCAAACACAAACAGATAAAGATAAACTAAAACTAGTAAAAAAAATCAATCATCCCCACCCTATCGAGTAATTGTCCAACCAAACCTTTGGCTGGAATCGGAAGAATCTTCCAATTTGTAGGGCAGAAGAAAAACCAAGACAATGCATAATCATTGATAGCTACACCGTTTACCAGGGTAGTGAATAATTGGATAGAGTAGATGAAAATGTAGAAGAGACCAAAAAATGGAGAGACTGTGATTGGAGAGGATGTTAAAATTGGTAGAGGAGAGGGTAGTTCAAATTGAAGATTCTGAGTGGATCCTAAAGCAATTTGAACTATACTTCAGCTTTAACATCCTGTCCAATTACCAGAAAAACCAAGACAATGAGAATCATTAATTAGATAAAATCAAACATTTCCAAAAATATTCTCCTTAGCATTTTTCATTCTCCTACCAATTTTTGCGTTCTAAACATAGCCCAATGGTGTTATACAAGTTACACACTCTAATTAAAGCTTCACTTATTGGTTTCTCTAATTTATCTTTCATATGAATATGGCTACAGATAATTTGCTCTTAACAGCTGACCACAAGACCGTTAAACTTGCCGACTTTGGTCTGGCAAGGGAAGAGTCATTGACAGAGATGATGACGGCTGAAACCGGAACCTACCGCTGGATGGCTCCCGAGGTAAACACAGGATCATGTACGGCTTTTTTGGTTTGGGGATATTGGAGGGAAAGGAAGAGGATGTTTTTATTTTACTTATTTATCGGTATTTGTTAGTCATAGACTAGAAATAACTATATGATTAGTTCAATGATGCATTTGTATGTGGTTTTGTAATCTTTACTTTATTTTTAACGATCTAACTATAATATTATTCCTCCCCTCTAAGATTCTCAAACCAAACAAGCCTTTATTCCTTTCACAATTCCACTGTGTTCTTCTTCATCTTCTATATGACTTCACATGTGACTGATATGTAACTGGATTGTTGTATGTGGGTGGAAGCTCTACAGCACGGTCACATTAAGACATGGAGAGAAGAAGCATTACAACCACAAAGTGGATGCCTACAGTTTTGCTATTGTGTTGTGGGAGCTCATACATAATAAGTTACCATTTGAGGGCATGTCAAATCTCCAGGCTGCTTATGCTGCTGCTTTTAAAGTAATTTATGTTTCTTGACTTCTTCCCTTTTTAGTTATTATTCAGTTACTATGTGGTACTACATGCTTTCTTAATGTTTTATTTTCCATGTTTGTTTGCACTAATTCTGAATTCACTGCAAGAAATGTTGGTACTTTGGATCCTACCACATTAGATGCAAGCTTCTCCAATGAGTCTAGGACCACCAGGACAATTGTGCTATAACTTTGAAGTAGCCAAGTAGGAATTTAGTTCCTGCTCGGTTCTTTGCTTAGTTTACTCCATTATGTGAAACAGTTGATTATGGAAAAACTAATGCACAAGTTATTACGATAGTATGTTGCTAAAATGGAGCCATGGAGGTACATTGCTACTTTCATTCAATTACCGTTTTTAGAAAAATAATTTTAGTACATTTGTTAGAATCAACCCTAGAAATTTAGAGAGAGATCAATGAGTTTATAAGACTTTGAGTTGAATTAGCCAAGAGTTTGAATTCAATCTTTTAGTATGGTATGACTCAAAGCTGTTATGGCCTAGTTGAGCGATTCCAACCCGTTCCTGAATTCTATCTTAGCATTAGAGCAAGTTTTTGCCGCACTCTATTCCAGCAGTCCATGTAACCTTGTGATCCATCTTGAAATCCCATTTCAGCTGTTTGTGATGCTTTAAATTTTGCCACTACATCTTGAGCTTAAAACCTCAAGTTGAACTAGCTACAATGGACTAGATTCAATCTTTTATTGTCATATGAGGAGCTTGTTTCGTAACACTGAAATAGGCTAAATCAGTTGGCTCTACTGAAATTGATGAGGTTTTGGTTGAAATGACTGAATTTACTGAATCCGTTGAATTATGGAAAATTTATATTTAAAATAGGGAAAATGGAAACTAATAATCCAACCTTTTAGCGTTCTTCTTGCAATAGTCCCACCTTTTGATTATTCATGAATAATCTAACCTTTGCACCTCATCTTCATTCACTGGTCCCTGACCGGTTGATGACTTGTTATTCCAAGTTATTTTCTTATCTTTGCAAAATATTATCTTTGTGAAAGGTGAGATTTATGGTATAATGGTTTGCAAAGATAAGAAAATAACTTGGAATAGTAGGTCATCAACCGGTCAGAGACCAGTGAATGAAGATGAGGTGCAAAGGTTGGATTATTCATGAATAATCAAAAGGTGAGACTATTGTAAGAAAACCGCTAAAAGGTTGGATTATTAGTTTACATTTTCCCTTTAAAATATACTCCCTCCATCCCACAAAGGTTGTTCCATCTTTCCTTTTTGGTCTGTCCCACTAAGATGGTCTCTTACCAAGTTTGGTAAAATTTGTGTGGTTTTAAATCTCTCTTACTTTATTCTTATTTATCAATTCAATATCAACCACATAAGTTCACTTTTCTTAATAACCACACCACCTCCTTATGTCCCAACGTTAGTGAGATGGAGACAGTTTTTTTATTAGGAAAATAAAGGAAAAAATATATGGAAAATAGCTAAAATAGTCCTCTACAGTAACTTCAGCAACTCAGCTAGAAAGTAAAAATTACGTGTTTGATGAAAAAGATGTCAGCCTAATCCTGAACTTTAAGGATGATAAGCGCTTTTAGCGAGTTCTCTGATCCACCAAACAAGTTCTTATCTCAGCCTTAGAGGGTATCATGACATGTGAGCAAAGAAAATTTGGCCTGCTATCCAAGACTGAGGAGCGATGAATATAACTCTATGGGGGGACCATTCAACAAACTTTGAAAATTGTATATTTTTGTCAATGGTATTAAATATAGGTTTGATAGCCCCACACCCACTGTCTCTTGGGTTTTCATTGATTTTCTTGTAAAACCTGTGGTGCAGAATGTAAGGCCAAGTGCTGATGAGCTGACTGAAGATTTGGCTTTAATCGTGACGTCGTGCTGGAATGAAGACCCAAATGAACGCCCTAACTTCACTCAGATTATCCAAATGCTTCTTCATTATCTGTCAACAATATCTCCTCTTGAAGTGCCCCCTATACCTCCAAGAATTTATGCTTCAGAGAATGTCGTCTTTCCACCAGAGTCTCCAGGTACAAGCTCCCTAATGTCGAAGCGTGGTGACTCGGGGGGAGATATGACCCCTCAAACCCCATCAGTGGATGAAAACAACAACAGCAGGGGTTTATTCTTCTGCTTTAAACAATGTTACTGAGATGCTCAAAAACCCTATCGCCTTCACGTATATCAGCTTTACAGCTGTAGGCATTGTAAAATAATTATTCTGATTAGTTCTGACTGATTATAATAATGCAATAATAATCGGTATCATAGGGTTGTAAAATAAGGTCTCATCCAAATGTTATGAGGCAACATTTGAATGATATTTAGTGCATACTTTGTTAATAATATTGAAAAAGGAGGTATATATAAATAAAGTAAATGAATAAATGTTGAAGTGTTTGTTGGCACTTTGACTGTAAATGATCAGACCCCTACACTTTAGGATGAAATTCCAAATATTAATGTGGTGCGGTCTGTTTGATACACATGATTTGGGGTAGCTCGTTCGGTCAGTAACTCAGTATAATCCATTTTTTCCGTCTTATGTATGTCCAACCCAGTTTAGACCAATTTGGTGTCAGTACAGCCCATTTATCTGTCTGGTTTTTGTGCAGCCCGGCTACATAAGACATTGAAATGTTTGTCCCATTATAAGCCAACATATAGATCATGAGTTACTTCTTTTATACCTTTTTAGAATGTAAACTCCAGTTTTGATGCATTTTTATGTATTTATTTTCTAGTCGTTGTACATCAATTATTCCTTACTCCATATACATGACCCTGAATCTCTGGAAAATATTGTTTTGGAAGATAGAGGCCGTCACCATGGTGTCTTTTTCATGTACTTCCTTAAACACATAGATAGACCATTTATTGGTGTTTATAATGGAGTGTCATGTACTAGGACGTGATTATAGACGATGCATGGAGAATATTATTTGGTGTAAATTTCTTCAGTTATCTAAATATTCATATATTCCATTATTCCTATTGAAACTGTCAATCTTCCCGTCTAAACAGCAAATCTTTGCTATATTTGCAGTTTCTGGTGTCTAACTTTCTGGGCTTCTGGCAGTCATTGAAGTTGTAGTGTTGTACACCTCAAACCAATCGTTGGGAACACACGTTCATAATAGTTTTTGGAATGTAAAATTTAGAGCAAATGGTTGAAAATAATATTACCCAACACTGAGATCAAATGCCCAAGTCCTTTTCATTTCAGCAGAAGAAAATAAAGCATCACACAGTGACTTTTAGTTGCAAAGGTCTTGAAAATATACACCAGAACTGACAATCAAATGTTTAGTAATGTAAAAATACATGTTACCCTGTATAAATAAGAGTGAGCAAAACAATTGACATCTAAATGTCATAAAAGTTGTGTATGACACAATGAGGTCATTCAAATCACACATACTAATATCTAAGCATGTTTTCCTAAAGACTTCATCAGACTTGCCTAAGCCAAGATCTTTGCTTGAAGATTTTGATAGACATTTGTCCTTGAAGAGCCAATGCAACAAGGTTAAAAAGAACACCTGATCTAAACATCTAATCACTTCTCCTGTATATGAAAATCTGGACCAATATTTTGTGGCATGATATGTTTATATATGTATATATGTGTATAAATCCAGTAGTCAGCAATAGTTAACTAGTCAGCTTCTCTTTTGCAATTCCCAGGTAGGAGATATTTATACTTATCAGCATTGTTCAGCAAATAAGAAGGAAGATGAACTCCAGAATAAGAACGAGGAACAGGCCCCATCTTCCCAATGATGTCCTTGAAAGTATATTCCTCTGGAATCATATCATACAAATCCGCTCCTCTACAGATCACATCTTGAATCCTTTTCGGGTCCAGAAAATGAGAAAACCTAACCCGATCCGTATGGCTATAAGCTTTCATCTTGAACACAAAATCACTTATATGGCGAAAACAGAAGCTGCAATGCCAGCCGGAATCCGCTAACAAGTAATCAGTCCGACGGAAGTGCGCATACCGAGTTTCACCAGTCCGGTACCTATGAACAGAAGCTCTCCAGCTTCCATGGTCAACTAAAAACTCGAAGGAGTACAAGTAATTCTTCAATTGGAGATGTAAAACCGGCGGAATGTCGTCGCACCACCGCAAAAGGTTAATCGTGTGCCTGCTCGGAATCTCATCGACGTCCGACATGATAAGCAAATCGTCGTCTTCTATCCCGGCGATTCTCAGAAGCTGGTCAAGAGCTACTCTCTGGTACGCCTCCTCGATGAACGGATTCTCGCCTTTCCTGAACCTTCCCCCGACCGTCGCGTAGCTCAGCCGCGGCTCAACGAAGCTAAACCGGTCGCGATTCATCGCGAATACGTGAGGTTTGGGCAGAGAAGTGAAGGTCGAGTTCGACTCGAGAAGAACGAAGCGCGTGATGTAGGGATAAAGCTCCTGCCACCTGATAGAGAGCATGTCGACTTCATTGCTGAAGAGGACGGCGTCAAAGACGCGCCTGGGGTATTCACGGATTCCCCAGCCGTGGAGCTTGCAGAGAGTCTCCATTGACGCATTCTCGTGATAGTAGTGGGCGACGTGGATGAAGGGCTTTGGCGGAGACTGCCATAGCGGGCGGAAGAAGTAGGTGATCTTCTGGCCGTGTACAAAAATCACAAGAACACTTGCTGGAACTACTACAAGTAGGAAGATGATCGTCCTTAGATCTAATCCTCTGATCATGCACTTCAATCTTGACACGGTCAGTACCCCTGGGGAATCCCTCTGTACAAGAACACCAACAGAATTAGTGATAAGTACATATGATTAAAATAAACTAATGGAGATAATTGTTTCTGGAGTCGTTCTTCATGCACACGTCAAGGAAACACGCCATTTTTACATTCAACACATGTTTTTTAAATACCAGGGCGTGTACAAAAAAGGATCACACCTCATTCGTGAGGACCCCCGGAACCGACTGGAAAAGGATTGAAGATGTGAAAAAGGATTCACATCTTGTAAAGGTTTTTGTACCCGCCCTAGCATGTACGAACAAATTTTCTAGATATGCAGATGGCTGTAGCTGTGGAGATTTTTTTACAGTGACTATAGTGACTAGTGACAATGTGTCTATTCGGTTTTACAAAGTAGTGACTTGTGGTGGTATTCGATCATAGATGTAGAAAGTTTATGCTATAAAATTCGTAAGAATGTGGAGGAAAGCAAGAACTATAATATGAGTCTTAGACCAGAATTTAGGCATAGTATGGTGTATTGTAAGACCATGTGTTGGGTGAAACAACCTATATGTAGAGCATACAGAGTAAGATGTAGCCTTCCCACTTACTGCACCCTAATTGCGCAATGACCTACCCACACAATGGTTATGGACCAGTTGAGCGACTTAGTCATTTGCCATAATAGCACGACAACTGTCGCCCGCCCTGATGAGCTGACTAGAGGTTGATTTGGAAAGGCTTCATGTTGCGGGACTGTTAGGGCCTCCGGCTCAGGCATCAGGGGCATAGTTAAAGGGGATCACACCAAATTTGGTAAAATCATTCAATATATATACTCCGATACGTTAAATAATTGTGTAAAAAGTTTTATAAGAAAATTCTTTTAATGAGCGCAAACCATTATTTCTCTCTTGCTACGCCCCTGCTTCAGAGCATATAAAATGATGGGGGTGGCCAAATGTAATGGGTCTATGTCCTTGGCAGACCTCTAGTTGAATTTGGGGTCGACACCGTCGGGTGGTCAGTCGGACGATTAATGAGAAGTTGTAACATGCCGACCATATAGTCTTTTGTGTCTAACCGTGCATGTAATCTAGGAAAAATGTCATACCCATATATAAGATGAACATAATTATACAGTGTATATTCGTTCAGTAACATTATCTACCTTATCCCGCCATAGTCTCCCTTTCAAGTTTCAAGCTCAAAAGTTTCATTCATTTAAGCTAATGACTTCAACCAAACGGGCCCCAAACTTTGGTGGGATTGTTACAGTTCTTTCTTTTGACACAACATAAAACCTTATCCAATAGGTTGAGAATACTGCACTAATGAAGTTCCCTAATATATTGCAGAGTAAGGTTAACAATTAACAAGTTACATTAGCTAAAATAAATGATGTCATTGATATAGCTTCAGTCTACAACAACAAAACCTAGAAAAGAAAAAGAAAACAAAAAAAGTTTCGCAAACAACAAAACATTAACAGATGATCCACGAAATTCTTAGGAAGTGTTCTATTATTAATGCTATTATAATTTCTATTTTTTGTTCTGCATAAACGAGCAAGAAGTTGTTGATACACCTCTTCCAAAAAACAAACAAAAAGTATTCATTCATTTTAATCATTTATTTATGTAGAAAAAAGAGATAAAAGTAGAATAAAAAGGGGATGGATAAAAAAGGATACCTGGCAACAAACATCTTCGCATATATCGTCTCTCTTCTTAGAGATATAATAATCTTCCGAAACCATTAGGACCCCAACAGATTCTGCAATTGCTTTCTCAAATGCCTGTTTTCTTCTCCCCAATTAAATCCCCTCCTTTCTCCTTTTATATACAGACCCCCAGAAAAAGAGAAACTCAAATTGGAACCTTTAATTTCCTGTTTATCAGACTCCAGAAAATGGTGAAATTTGGGAGAGGGATTTCGTCGTGTTATTCTTCATCCTTCTCCTCCAAATGGAATTGGCTTAGCGCTATGCCTACAGTTTTTTTTTTGCTTTTGTTAAATGTCTCTTTCTGACATGGAGTTTCAGGATGGAAAGATAGAACATGTATTATTATGCATAAATAAGGATGATTTGTACGAATGAGTAGTAAAAAATTAGAGCACTTTATTTTGAAAGGGAGGAAATGATTATTATGCTGATAAGGATATTAATAATAATACGAGTATATGATTATGATTATTTGCATTGGATTTATACTTTCGTAAGTCGTAACTGATAAGAATGGAACAGACGACTGATTCCACGCGGGTATCTTCACATTCCTGAAAACTTTCAATTAATCCTGTAAACCAACTTTCTATTTTTGTTTGGTTGAATTTATAATTAGTATGTTTTAAATTGAACTAAAATTATCTGATCCGGTGTAGTGTGTGATAAAGGTTTCTATGAATTTCTAAGTTTGGATTAATATATGATGGGAAAGTTCAAAAATAGGACTGTCATGTTTTTTATTCCCAAAATAGGAGTAATTATTGTCAAGTTTGGAAAATACTGCCATGTTTGAAGTCTGGTACTGCCAAAACATGACGATAATTAGTCATATTTTGGGAATAAAAACATGACGGTCTTATTTTGGAATTTTGAAATTTTTAGTTATATTTCGAGTAATATCTCATATGGGATTTGTTTAAATTTAGTATGATTGATATGAAAGTTGAAATCGGTCCAATTAAAAATATTATCTTTAGTCATGGTCCGAACTTATTCAATTATGATTGTGCGTAGGTTCCAAAACTTTTCTAAGAACATCAAACTAATACTTAGTTCATGATAGATTTTACATTGTCACCTTAGTTATAAATAAAAAAAAAGTTATGATCTTTCACGACAATGATCTCAATTCTCAAATCCATGTCTCGTGAGTCAAATACATTATGGTCTCATTACATCACTATCGATCTCTTAAAGAAAAAGATACATGTTGAGTTTAATCCAACACGATATAGTAAATATATGTATAAATGTGTATGAACAAACTATTTTTATGTGGAAACCCGAAAGGGAGAAAATCACGAGACTTTTTATGCTAATGTCCAAACTCTCTCATTCTCATTAGACTCTCCTCACCATTACATAGTACAATCTGAGCTCCCACTAATGGAGTATTGTAAGTAAGCTAGCTAGAGAGAAAGCCCCCATATTTATAGGGGAAAGGGAGTAGGGTAAAACCTACCCTAATGGGCCAAATGGGCCGAAATGGGCCCAAAGGCCGAAACAGGCCCAATAGGCTTGGAATGGCCTCCGCCATCCGGGCTTTGAACTGGGGTAATATCTTGGACCCTTGAACAGTAGTAGGCCGGGATAATATACCTCAACAATGCATATTTGTATCTCATCTTAATCAAGAATGTTGAAATTATTTTGAGTATATACTATTAGTACTATAATAGGCTTAGAAGCATATTCACAAAAATAAATAAATAAATAAAGTTCTTAATTTTCATCTAAAAGAACAAATAATGTGAAAAGTTGGACTAAAATGTACACAGTACCTTAACGGTGGGTATTATTGCAATTTTTGGTAGGTTACGTGCAATAATATTGATGCAACTTTTGTCTTTAATTTATATCCATGCAACAATATTTGGACTTTTATACGTTTGAATAATGTACGGCAGATATTTCTGTTTTTAACTTGAGGCTCGGGGCATAATTGATTTGGAGGCCATTTGGCCGTTCGACTTATCAGCCAGCTTTTTCACCAAACACGTAACTTTTACTTTCGCGTGTTGAATTGTGTAATAAGCATAAAAAGTAAAAAGTAAGGTTGAAGTTACTTTTCTGGTTGTATTGGCTGAAGTTACTGTAGATGACAATTTTAACTATTTTTTCTCTATTTTATTAATAAAATACTCCGTATTTTTTTTAAATCAGCAGAATCAACCAATGTAGCTAATTCAGCCAGAACTTCATAAATTTCAGCAGTATCAGCCAAAACAGCTGATTTTGGTGATACCAAACGAGCTCTTGGACTACATATTATAAACTTTTGAATATTGTACATTTTAGGCTTGTCCTTGCCACTTCGTTGCTCTCTAAAGTTTGGACGTTTGCCTTTATTTATCTAGGCGAAGCATGGGTTATCTCTGTCAAGCAGTTACTGATCAATCAGTTTATCTTTTTTTTTTGCTTTATGTATAAAAAATTGCAGGTTATAAGATTTAGTTATACGATAGTTAGTAGGTTGAAGGTACCACGTGAGAGTTGGGAGACAAACAATAATTTGGTTACTACTCCGTATAAGAGTATTGTTATCTGTCTCGTGGCCGGTTAGGGACTCAATTTGCTTTAATGTATGAATAAATCTGAATAAGTATGTGTATAATTGTGAGGTGTGTGACGGGATTGGTGTATCTGTTTGGAGAGATGTTTGTTGCGAGTTATTTATCTTAATATAGACTTTTTATAATAAAAAAAATAAGTTATATGGAGTATATATGGTGTAGAAATTATGAATCACTAACATTACTTCTAGAAAAGAGTAGAGGATTGAACTACAACTTGGACTTGGGCTGTACTTGAACTGGACGCAAACAGCTGTGAGCTAAAAAAGCTGGAAACGGCTTGATAAAGTGGGCTGATTGTTGGCCTGCAAGTGTGCTGGACTGGATTTAATCTGGAGCTGGTTCGCCGGTGGAACCGTCAATCGAAGCCAACCCCTGTGTTCCTCGTTGCTCGCAGAAGGCTGTAGCAGACCACGTTTACTGGTCGCTGAGGATAGAGACGAAGGGCGTGGGCCCCTGTACTTTTGTAGCTTGGACGCTAATCGCAGAGGTCTGGCCGCAGGATTGACGCAAGGAGCTGGAGCCGTTCATCGTGATTGGAGTCTGGGGCTGTTTTGTCGTTGTCCTTTCGTTGTTGGTCGCAGAAAGGTGGAACACAACAAGTTGGCTTCACGTGAAGTTCACTTCATGGATTTGGCTTTGGAGGTGTTGACCGTGTTCACTCAAGTGGAGGCTTGACTTTGGAGCACAGGAGTTAGCAATTGGCTTCACGTGAAGGTGCTGGCTCAGCAGCAAGCAGTAGCTCTTGGTGGACTTGGTCAAAATCTGCCAACTTCCAGTCAATAATCAGTCAACCGAAAAATCCCATTTTTTTTAATTGGGTGGGTAAGGTCGAAACGCCTCTCCTAGGGTTTCGCTCCGGTATATTGACTTTTATCCCTTTTATCGCTTTTGTAGTGATTTAATCTTTTATTGTGTAGAAATTCTTGTTTTAGGTTTATTACTGCTGTTAAAATTGATTGAATTGTTGTGTTGTTCTGTGTTGAAAATTTATTATTTATTTGTGCTTATACGGAAGAACAAGGGGTTTGAAGTTGAGTTTGGTGCTCATTAATACTCCCCGCGTGTTCGTGCTAGTTGCTCCGTATAGTTGTAGCCTTATAAATATTTAAATTGTTTTCAGCGAAATTTACATTTTCTTTTGTTGCTTATTTTTTCTCTGTGAAAATGTCTGCTTATAATCAGTATGGTATGGCTCCATTTAATGGAAAATCTGATTTTAGCATTTGGAAGCAAAAAATTAAATGTATTTTAATACAACAAAAATGTTTTAAAGCAGTTGGCGAAACCTATTTAATTTCTGACACGGAAGATAAAAGGGCCGAAATGAATGAAAATGCATGTTCTGTGATTTATTTGAACTTATCTGACTCTGTGATTAGAAAAGTTGGAATTTTAGAGAGTGCTAAAATTCTGTGGAATAAATTAGATGAACTGTATACTGAAACCTCTTTGCCTAACCGGATATTTTTACTTGAGAAATTCTTCAAATTTAGACTAGATATGTCTATAGATATTGAAGAAAATCTAGATATTTTTACCAAACTTATTTCGGATATTAAGTTGTGTGGTGATAAGCATATAGATGATTATTCTCCCATTGCTCTTTTAAATGCTATTCCTGATTCCTTTAGTGATGTGAAATCTGCTATTAAGTATGGTAGAGATAATGTGACTCTTGACATTGTGGTAAATGGTCTTAAGAGTAAGGAATTAGATTTAAAACAGATGGGTGAGGGTAGAAAATCCGAGGAAGTTTTGCATGTGAGGGGTAGAGAAAATAATAGTAGACGACATAGATCTAAGTCTAGGTCTAATTCGAGACGTTGCTATTATTGTCATGAACCTGGTCATTTCATAAGAGACTGTCCTAAATCTAGGAAAAATGAGCATAGTGAGCATGCTAATTTGACTACGTGTGAAGATGATTTAGGTGATGTTTTTATGATGAAAAATCTATGTGATTATGACTATCTGAGTTCTGTGATATCTGATTCTTTGGGTAAATCAGATTGGGTGGTAGATTCTGGTTGTACTTTTCATATGTCCCCTTTGAAAAATGTTTTTTCAAACTATAGAGAGATTGAGCATGGCTTTGTGTCTTTAGCAAATGAGAAGAAATGCAATGTGCTAGGAATAGGAGATGTATGCCTTAGGTTTTCTTCTGGTTATGTGCTTACTTTGAAGAATGTTAGGCATGTTCCTGAGCTGTGTTGTAATTTGCTATCTTGTGCTTCTCTTGAAAATGAGGGTTTGAAGGGAAAATGGGGAAAAGGAATCATGAAAGTTGTGAAGGGTTGTTTAGTTGTTTTCAAAGCTGAGATGAAAAACAACTTGTATGTTTGTCATGCTGAACCCGTACTTGATTCTGTGAATTGTGTGCAACCCTGTGTGCTAGGAAAACAATCTAGAGTTGGTTTTCCTGATCTGCCTGAGTGTACTCATGTGCTTGATTGTATTCATGCTGACTTGTGGGGTCCTAATAGTGTTTCCACTCATGGTGGTAAAAATTATTTTCTGACGTTGATTGATGATTTTTCAAAGAAAGTGTGGGTTTTGTTGATTGAGAATAAATCTGAAGTTTTTGATAAGTTTAAAAACTGGAAAACCCTTGTTGAAAAACAAACCGGTAAGAAAATTAATTTTTTAAGAACCACTGTCAGTTTTGATTTCTGTGATAGTCAGCTTGGGGATTTATGTGATACTTGGGGTATTTCTATGCATAAATCTGTTCCCTCCACACCCCAACCGGATGGGGTTGCTGAGAGGATGGTTAGAACTTTATTAGAGAGGGTGAGGGCTATGTTAGCTTCATCTGGGCTCTCTAATAAGTTCTGGGGGGAAGCTATTTGTTATGCTGTTGATTTGATTAATCTGTCCCCGTCTGTTCCCTTAGGAGGGAAATGCCCTGAATCTGTGTTCATGGGCAAACCACTTAATTTGCCAAATTTGAGAGTGTTTGGTTGTGCTGCTTATGTGAATCGTGTGAATGATAAATCTGAACCTAGGACTAAGGAATATGTTTTCTTAGGATATCATGATTACATGAAAGGTTATAGGCTTTGGTGTAGGAGTGAAACTTGCTTCAATGTGTTGATGAGTAGAAATGTCATTTTTGTTGAAAATGAATTTCCTTGCCTGCTTGTTTCTCCTGATGTTGCTCCAAATGAGGTGGAGCATTTGCCTGATGTTCATTCTGATTTACTTGTTGAAACCGAACCCAAATTTGTGGATGAAAATGTTTTTCATGGTGAAAATAAAGAAAATAATATTTCTATTAAGGTGGAGCATGATATGAATGTTGTGTGCAATATGCTTGAGTTGCGTGATTGCCATGTTATTAGAGATAGAGACATTAGGAAGCATGTGAGAAATAATATGTGCAATGTGTTTGACTATATTTCCTCTGAGTTTGCTTTAAATGTGCTTAATTCTCTTTTAATTAAAATCTTTGTGATATTTGGTATGCTATTTTCTTTGTGTTTTGAAAATGTGATACCATGTGATTATGTGAGCTCCGCCTGTGCCAGTTATAGAAATAATATTGTTTCTTTTATTTTCTTTATATTTGCTTTGTGTGGTTGTTGGATTAGTTGGAATCCCCAACTTCTCCCGGATGCTTGCTTGCGTAGTCTATTAACATGTGTTGTGCTTGTTAATAGTTTTGTGATGGTTTTGGTTCTGAACTCGAGGACCGATTGGTAGAGTTCAGTCCATCGTGAAGTGGGTTTGCACGGTAAGCTTGGTCCGAAAGGGAACTTTGGTTCTCATCTATTACTTGTATGATCGCAATGATGTACTTGTAATGGTCCGGCGATGATGAGTCTCCTCACAACTTTGTATTGCTACTCTACACCACCTAGGACCAATAAGGTGGAGAATGTTGGAGGTATTGGTCCTACCAAGGCCTCCCTTCCATTTTATTATTGACTTGCACCCTATGTTTACTCCCACAGTTCCATTCCGATAATTGTTTCTCTTCTGGCTGTTGACTTACCTAATGTTTGGCCCCCTTTCCGTGTTGTCCGGCTGCATTTCTGTCTGTGTCTGCCCATGAGCCTTTGTCTTTGCATCCCTCGTGACTTGTCTTGATAATTTGCTGGCAGCCTATTATTTATGGAGCTCACTTCTTCCTTGAGAGTGTAGCCTGCCTGAGATATTCTGAGAGTAGTGAGCAGTGCCCTTCTTCTTCTTCTCCATTTCCTTTGTGTGAGAGTGTGAGAGAGAATACCTTAGTGGTAGAGAAGAAGCTTGGAGTTGTGTTGTGGTCTAGCCTAGAGTGGTGTGTGTGAGTCTAGTTAAAGGGTTGGAGACCTGAGCCGGAAAGAAATCGACACCCAACAAAAAGTATAATTTTGAATGAGTAGTTTGGTAACTTTTAATGACTAAACTCGTGTTTAAATTAAAGTTGCTGTGTTTAAATTAAAGTTGTTATGATGTAAACTTTGAATATAACCTATAATCATCAAAAGTTATTAAATCACATTTTTATCCGTTACGTACTCTTTTATTAATAATATTTTAGCAGAAACCTCAAAATTATGCCCACAAGAATGATTTCATTTTTCAAAAAGCCTCACAAAAACAGAAGCACGGTAGTGGTTACTCGAGGTCAGGCTCAACGTAGAAGGTAACCTAGACATGATTTCTTAAAGTGAGATACTTCTTCATACAATTGTCCTATATAAAGAAAAATTATTAGGATTAGGAAGAGCCTTGGAGTTTAAGCTCTTTCTTGCTGATTGGGCTAACAATAACAGCCGGGACCACCACGGGGGAAGCAAAAATTATATAGTGGTGAGGGCCTAGATTGTTGTCCAAAAGGTTGAATCGCCAACCCCAAGCGCCCCCCACGCCCCGACCCGACAGAGCACATGGGAAGATGTAAGTCACGGTGACTCAGTCAGCAAAGTGGCAGTAAGCCATACGCCCGTGCGCGCCAGAGGTCCAGCCTTATTTCAAGTTCTGTGACCTCCACCCGGTCGCTGCGGGGATTCAAACATTGGTCATTGTCCAAATTTCCCACCACTTTGCCAACTGAGCTACCCGTGGCGAGGGCCGAGATGAAACTACCCCAACTATAGACTCATTGGAACATTTATCTAGACATGAGTGAAACAAGCAATGAAGAAAACCCAAGCAAACATACTTAAATATTTACACATGATCAAATCCGGATGCTCAAAAATATTTAAGAATGGATAGACAAATCGACCAATGAGAAAACTATCTAATTTACTCGTTTTTAATTGTGCTTATCAATCTATTAGCAATTGAGATTATTTTGAAAAAACATAAATACATTAATACAATATAAACTTGAAGTATTAGATATGAGTCAAAATGTGATGAAGTCACGAAATCATTTTACATTTGAGAACTTTTAGTGACAATATGAGCTAATAGAAGAGAATATTGAAATCAAACCACTATATACATAGGATGTTTGGACATGAATAGGTTTACCAGATCTATCCCACTAGCATTTACGCATCATTTATTTTGGGTTGACATGTTAATTAGGCGGCATGGTAGATTGGTAGTAGTCCATACTTCATCGTTGATGAGGAATTTGAATCCGTTACCATCTCTTTATTCACATACACCCAGTAGCGTATCCAGAAAACTTTGTGAGTGGGGCAAACTTGCCTTAAGTTTTATCACGCGCACGTTACGGACTTACCACATTAAGAAAAATATTGTACAGTCAATTATAAATAACAAAATATTCACTGTGCAAAAACCTTTTGAAATCATACTTAAAATTCATAGTAAAGAAATACTACCTCCGTCTCTTTTATATTGGGATGGAAGAGGGTGACACGCGTTTTAAAGAAAGTGAGTTTGTGTGGTTGGTATTAATTGATAAAGTAAAAATAAAGTAAGAGTGATTTTGTGGGGGCAATTTAAGTGGGACTTCCCGAAAAGGTAAAACGGGACAATATAAAGGGGACGGAGGGAGTATAACTTTGTTAGAAACAAATTATAATCACAAAGCATTTGTAATTTGTTCAAAATTATGTTAATAAATACATGAATCAAATAAAAAAAGGATCAAATAGGTACTTAAAATTAATTTAAGATGCGAATTCACGGTATATTTAAAATCAAGTTAGGTTATCATTTACAAAACTTTACTGCATACGTAGTAATTGTTAAATTTTATGAATCGTATGTGAAACTAAAGTTTTGATAATATATATATGATACGGGGTATATTTTAAATCTTGTTCAGAAGACAAGAGTTAATTTCTTATTTTAAATCTATTTGAAATTTGTTTCAGGCTTCAAAAAGGGGAAAATAAAAAACAAAACTGACAAAAATCCACTACGGTTCGAACCCTGCAACTCAAGTTATTCATCAAGACAAGGACCGCTACTTCCACTTGGCCAAGGCGACTTTTAAGTAAAATACTCGTCCATATTATATAAGATCTATTATTTTAGGAACAAATATAAATATAATTAGAATATTGGATATATATAAGGGTTGGGTGGGGTTGAGTGGGGGCAGCTGCCCCCCTGCCCCCATCCTGGATACGCCCCTGCATACACCACTCTAACACTCCTAACAATAGTGTTTCATATTTGAATCTCATCTTAATCCAAACATGTTGATCTTTAACATAAAACATACGACCTAATAATAATAGGTCAGAAAACACAACAAACAAGGAGTCTGAACCTTTTTAGTGACATTATGATTGACTGAATCAGCTTAAATTAATGAAAATTCTAGCTAAAATGGATTAATTGTGAATTATTTAGAATCTTTATTTAATTTTTTTTTAAATCTTTCTTAACTTCGGTCGATTCATTCATAAAAATAACTCTAACTTTACTTATTTTGATAATAGCACAACTCTGTCCGCAACATTAAAAGTCACGAGTCGAAATAGGAGCTATCAAGCGCTTTATTATGTTCCATAGCTAATTAAAAGTCTATAATGACCTTGATTTCTTATTCATCACATGCAAATGAAATTGCTCCTAGGCGGATCTTTCGGAGTTTGGGAGAAGAGGACGTCTTTGAGGATTAATTAGTCGTGGGAGGGGGACTGGGGGAGAGGGGAGAAGTGAACTAATTCTTTCTTTTTGTATGATTAATTTAAATAGTTGAACGTGTATTAACTCTAAAGGAGAAAATTGTATCCCAAACTTTGAAAGTAGGTGGGATAAATAGTCTAAACTTGCATATACAATATATATGTCCCTAACTTTATGTAAAAAGTCATTTTCGCACAAATATTATATGTTTTGTACAAATATGGATTTATTGCAATAAGCACATAATCTAAAATACTTTAAAGATTTGTTTGGGTGCAATTACCATTTTAAAGTATCATTTTTGAACAAATAATATTACATCCGACATAATCTACTTTTAATTGCATCCTCATAAGTATTTTGTGTACTCCGGTACCCATTTAAAAAATGGAGTACCGTACCCACCACTCACTTGATTAGTCCAGATCATTACATCATTTTTAATTTAGATTTAAATAATTCAACTGCATCATTTTGATTAGTCAATGTGGACAAAACTATGGTACCTTAAGGGTACGATAGAATCTACCTTTTATATTATGTACATAACACCATAAAATTATACTACCTCCGTCCCGTTGGAATGTTCCCACTTTCCTTTTTTGGATGTCCCAATGGAAAGTTCTCATTTCCCTAAATGGAAAGTTATCCTACATCAAAACAGTGTCAAACAGTGTCAAAAAGTGTCCAAACAGTAAAATTTACCCCCTGGTAAGTTTATTTCCTTAATATGTGTGTAGGTCAAACCGGGAACATTCCAACGGGACGGAGGTAGTATTTGTAAAAAAACATATAATCATGATGCTAACGTAACTTTTTATACTATAAGATTGAGGTATACATATGCAAGTTTTGGAGTACTGATCTTACGTCTCTTCAAAGTTTAAGATATTTAAATTATTTCTTTATTCTAAATTGAGTTAAAGTTATTGTTTAATTAATTACTGTTCAAAACCCCAACTTGAGAAGGGGTTTGAGAATTACAGGAATACTTCAAAACTGTTTCTTTCAAAAAGTTTAAAGTCCTAAAAAGAAGGAAAAAGGGTCAAATAAGCCCATGTACTATTACGAAACCGTCATATACACCCATCTACTAAAAAAAGGGTCAAAGCCACACACTTACTCTTTAAAATCAGTCATACAAGCCACATGACCGGCTAAGCACTTGGAACTCCCGGTTTTGTGCTGATGTGGCTCGTTTTTAATCCAATTTTCTGGTCTGGCAGTAACAATGCTGATGTGGATTAGTTTTGCCAACCTGGATGCATAGCTAGTCGTCGACAACGTACGCCTAAATCACAGTTTAGGGCTATTTTGTTTCATTCAAATGCTTCAATTTCATGGCCGACGACGAGGTACCCTGAGGGATAGTGTTGCTCTGCTTTTATCGTCTCCTTTGTTGAAGTTATTTGTCTGTACTCTATTGCAAGTAAGTATTTATCTACAAGTTTAATCGACACAAACCTATTAGTGAGTATAAGATACAGAGCATATAACGTGCTGGATGGTCTGCGCTCCTGACTCGGAGAAATATTATTAGCGCAGACCTCGTTCCAGAAACGGACTGAGTGAAGCAAGTTTAATTTTTGTCAGTTCTGAACTCGAACTGGTCAAACCGGTTGTGATTTCAGTTCCTCTAAACAACTGGAACTTTTTTGTCTTCAAGTTTCCTCCTCTACCTGGAACTGCGCAGTCTAGAAGCGGACCAAACCAGCTTTTGTTCCACCTGAAGTTTTGTTTACTCCTGTATATGTAGGCATATTAAAGTTGAATTCAAATATGTTTTTGATACTTGTTGTGAGTGTTGCCATCACTGGTATGTTGTTCACACTTAAAAAAAATCCATGTTTACACTATAAACTATGTAAAGTAAATGTTCCAACATTTTGACACTATGAAATGTTTGTATTTGTAGAATGTTTTTGGAAGCGCAGTTAAGAATACACCATGGAAGTAATTTTGTTAAAGAGGTGGGGCTTTTGACCCGGACATATGGTAAGGTGCATACAATAACTCTCGACCCGGACAGAATCTCTTATCCTCACCTATTGAAGTATATCAAAGAGCATGCATACAAGAAGGTGGAATCATTATCCTTTAAGTTACCTGGGGAGAAGATGGACCAATTAAAGCCATTATGGGATGATGCAAGTACTATTGATCGAGCTTATTGAGATGGCCATCAATTGGGGAGCAGTTGAGATTTTCGTGGAGCATGGTATAGATGAGGCTGAAGTACTCTCTGAATTGGCTTTGCCTTATACAGAAAATGATGAGGTAGCACAACAGACAAAAAAGAGGGTTGAAGGTGAGAATGGAATCCTTTTAGGAGTTCCATCAGAGACACCAACAACCTTATCTAAAAAAATACAATGCAGTTGATAAAGATACACCACACTGTGAAGAAGAAGAAGTGCATTTACAGTCAGGGGATGATCACACTTCTGAAGAGCATGATGAAGGAAATGATTTCATTTCTGGAGACTACAAAGAATAGGGAAGTGTTGCAAAGTGAATGTGAAGACTGGCTGCACCATAGACGTGCGTTTTGTGAACGGATGAAACCCATTTTGTTGTGTAATGTGTACTGAACATGGGTATAAATGCCCCTTTGATCATGTAATGTATGTTTTAAGTGATGGTTGGTTATTTTGTCGTGTACCGATCATGGGTTTAATGACCCCTTTTGTCATGTAATGTATGTTTTAAGTGATACCTGTTTAACATCTTGTAATGTAATGCAATGCATTTGTTGACATTTATGAGTTCAGCTTTTGAAGCTTGTAGTTGGAGTTTGTTTTTCCATTTGAAATTGTAGTTTGTCTTTCTCAATTACTGCAGTTTTTATTTTAAAAGAAAGGGGTTACACTTTGCTGCATTTTTTTTAGAAAAGTGGTAGAGCATCATGTAATTGTAATTGTGATGGCATACCTTCTTGTTTTGTCTTGGAGTTGGTATTCTTGGCCGTCTGGGGTTCTAGAATCAAAGCTAGAGGGGATGTCATTTGCCCACTCACAATCTCGAGTTAGGGAAAGATGTATTTCAGACTTCTTCATTTTAATATTTCAGTTTAATAGTTAATTAATTAGTACTTGCTTGACCTGAGTTAGGGAAAGATGTATTTCAGAATTCTTCATTTTAATATTTCAGTTTAATATAGTTAATTAATTAGTACTCACTTGACCTGAGTTAGGGAAAGATGTATTTCAAAAATTTTCATTTTAGCACTGACAGATAGTTATAACTGATATATGGAATAATGTCGCTGATAGTTATAATGAGCTTAAATCAGTACAGAGGCATTATACTGCTAAACGGCCAACATCACATTCAAGTACTCAACATATGATAAGAGAAGATGTTGCATCAGTACTGGGTGTGCTCTTTGCAAATGGCTATATCCAGGAATGATCAAACCCTTGTTTATTATATCAAGTGAAAGAAAATCAATTTATCTTATAAACTAAAACACAAGAAGTAAACATAACATATGGCTGCACAACTACACATAGGATAAATCATTTAACAAATAACATGTGTTAATTCAATATCCCTCATTCATTAATACAGCCTACGAGGCTAACTAGAGACTAAACAGAACATGTCTACAACATCATCAGTTCCATCTTTGTACTCCTACATACATGAAGATAAACATTGCTACAACCACAATTATCACAACTCCTATAGAGTATTTGAGTCTCTTATGCTTTTCAATCTCACAATGTAGGGCTGCTTTGACATGAGAAACTTCACCACGGATGTGTACTATTTGCTCTTGTAAATCATATACCACTATTTTGATTTCCTGCATTCTTGAATCTCATTTTCCTCTTTCCAAGCAAAGAATCCACACCCTCCGCCTCCTGGCTGCAAAAATTTAAAAAAATTGTGTAAAGATTTTTAGGATAAAGGGTTAAAACAGGAAAAAAAAAATTGAAATTACGAAAGTTACTAAAATTTGGCTGAAATTACTAAAATTTCAAAAATATTAGTCCTCCCAAATAAACTGATTGCCGATAAGTTTAGTCCTAAAGTAGTCTTATAATGCCACAAGTTTAGCAATACATTTTACAAATTCACAACACTTTGGTTTTTGAAGTAATTGCAGAACCAATTGATGGAGCATTAGCATTCCTAACATCATTGATTGGGCATTAGCAATTCACGGAAAAGGGGTTAGTTGCTGATTGATGCTAAGGCAGAGGGTGTCAAAATGGAAGCACCTTCTTCAGAGTTACAGATTGAAAGCAAGATGGTAGGGAGACACATCATATATTCTATTCATAACAAACACAATAACAACTACAAGGGTGGTTATTTCGTAAACTAGGGACTAAGGGGAGCAGCAGCTTATCATCCCTACAAACACCGTAGAAGGCAGTCAGTAGTATCAAGTCCATGATTATTCAAAATAATGACCTTGCAGACAACGAACACTAATAGCAGTGATATCAAACCTATTATATGGCAGAGATGGTATAGATTCACATTGATTCTGCAACATAATTACATTTTAATTATGGTTTTAGCTTTTCATACCTTCCATCATTGACATCCATAAACCTTTCGACCTGTGTCTCTGACAACGCACATGGGGGACTTCAAACCACATTGACAATACACACTTCGTGTTCGAATTGAACGAAGCTGCAGACATGCCGGAAACGGAGATTACGCGAAGTAGATGAAGACGAAGGCTAGGAAAGTTCGTTCTTTTAGGGTTCGCGACTAATAGGCATCACCCTTCCCTTTTATTGTTTAAATTAAATAATTATATGATGATGTGGAAAAAATTAATGTGATTGGGTATAAAACGAGCCACATAAGCACAAAACCGGGAGTTCCGAGTGCTTAGACGGTCATGTGGCTTGTATGACTGATTTTAAAGAGTAAGTGTGTGGCTTTGACCCTTTTTTAAGTAGATGGGTGTGTATGACGGTTTCATAGTAGTACATGGGCTTATTTGACCCTTTTTCCAAAAAAGAAAGGAAATATTACAAACTCTCATCAGCCTCTCATCTCCAAAACCTCTCTCTCAAAACATGGGTAAGTTGGAATGTTGGGCTGAACAAAATTATGTTCTCAACAGTCCAATAACTCCCAAAAAGTGACTGGAACAAAGAGTTCTGTTGGGCCATATTTCCATAATCCACCCCATAATGGGCCTCCTGGATCTGTCACCCTCGAGTCTGATTGTGGCGCGGGTCATACAACCACTGGTCAGATTAATTTCGCCCTAAAAATCGTTTAACCAGTTGCTGTACAAAAAACACTGCAATGGCGAAGGACGGAGGAGGGGAAGAAAGCGTGGAGAAGGAAGGGCACCACCTATTGGGCGAACCAACCTTCAAGCAGCTGGAGAATGGGCGCTTCAAGTGCGTGGAGACCGGTCACGAGCTTCCGGCTCATGCCAGAGACTCGTATGCCCGGAGCAAGCATTGCCGTTTAGGCCTCATTGATGCAGCTTTGGCTACTAAAAAGCCCATCCTGAATATGTTCTCTCAAGACCCTCTTTCCAGGTAATCCAACTTTTTCCTTCTTCCAGAATCTGGCAGCTGAATTCATATATACTACTCCGAATAGTACTAACTATATTCATTTGACTACTGTTCTGTTTACCATCAAGTGAAATTCTCATGTTATGGTTGTCACAATTCTGTTATATACAACTATTTGTACCTTTTGAGTTATGGTTAGTGATAAATTATCAGAGAGAATGCAAGAGAATTGCGTAATTGAATATAAGTAAAGTTTTTAATTTTAGCATTAGCATATGTTTTTTTGGATGATATTATTTTATATGAGCTCCTGTACTTGAATCAAAGTCTGTGGCTGGGAATTCAAAAGTAATCTGGATTTGGATATGACTCAACGCACATACCACCAAGAAAATCTCAATCCATAAATTCATATGATCAATTCTACAATAGAGTTTCAAAAGCTTTATTTTTCTGTTGGGATTGTTGCAGGTCAAAATTAAAATGCAAGTTGACTGGCCTAATTGTGAACAAATCTGAGGAACATATTTGGAAACATATTAACGGGAAGCGCTTCCTAAGAATGTTAGGTCGGTGATCTGTCTTTTGTTTGTTTTTGTACTCCATAGTGGGTTTTGAGACACATGTCCCAAAATTGCATTTTTGTGCTGTGAGTTTTGTTGATAATTTGACATGCACCCAAAAAATTAACAGAGAAAAAGGAAGCTGAGCAGAAGATGCCAGATGATATGCTCCAAGATGAGAAAATTGAACAACAATTGCAGGAAAAGACAAAGAAGAAAGCCAGTGGTTTGAATAAAAAGAAAAAAGAGAATGAAGAGAAATCTGATAATGTTATATCCAAAATGAGAGATTCTCCTGGGACTGACAGTGATAAGGAAGAATCTGAGGACTTCTGGTATCCTCCGCCTGGAGAACGTTGGGATAATGACGATGGGGGCGATAGATGGGGTTCTGGCTCAGAGCCAGAACTAGAACCAGAGAATAACGATTCTATTGCTCAAGGTATGCACTTGAGTCCAATTTTGTTTAACTGGGACTAAGGAATTATTTAGTGGTTCAGCTCAGGATTATGTAATTAAGAAAGTATTCAGGTTCTTGTATGGTAGTCTTATGATCAAACTGAGGAATTGATACAATTTTAGGTGTAACTTTTCAAGGCACATTGAAATGTTGTAAATGTAATCAAATGTACATGTGATGTAAATTTGCACTAGAAGTACAGTCATTTGGTTACACTGCATTGCATTACAGCTTATCAACATCAACTTCGTTCAGTGTATGACCTGTTAGGCAATGAGCTGTTTGCATTAGCAGTTGGTCATTTGATTAGTTGTTTGACGTTAGCTTCGGTCTACATAGGATGCTTATCAAACAATACATGTAGCTTTTTTACATGGTCAAACAGCTAACTTTAAATGACAGAGCCAAAGCCCAATAATGTCTTTCCACCAAACGTAGCCTATATGTTTTTATCTTTCTTAACTGTTGAACAGCGTGGTTTTACTTTGCCATCGATGAAATCCATGCCAAACATGTTTTTGAGTTTGCTATAGATGGAGTTCATACCCAACTTGTTCTTACTTTGCGTCAATATTACTTGGTTTTCTGGCAGATGAACTGTCTGAAGAGGCTGCCTATGAAGCGAGAAAACTATCTAAGCAGTAAGTTTCAAATTGCTTTCTGTGAATCTTGATAGTCTTTTCATTTATCATGAGTACAAAGGTGTTTTAGACTAGATGAGAAATTTAGGAAGGGACGAGACAGGATATTAATGATCTCAAACTCAAACGGTCCAACCTGTCTCTAATCTCATCTGTTTCGAGATGGACGATATTTATTTGAATCATCAAGCCCATATTTTTGAATAATTAATAGTCGCTTGAATAACAATAATAATCATATAAAGGCTTTCCATAAGCTGAATACAGAGTATAATATATCTGTATCTGTTCTTGCCTTAAAGCAATAGAACAAGTCAAAGTAATTGAAGAAATGAAATGAAAGTAAACAAAATATAAAAAATAGTTGAAGATGATTTTTTTACACAATGTTCATAATTTAGGATTGGATTTAGGCCATTCAATTGAGTTGTAAAGCATTTGCATTCAATCAAGTAACCAACTACAAAATTGAATCTAATCCATTAGCTAGTTGAATGGACAGTTTTATCTTACCTATTATTCTCTCTTTAATATTGTCATACAATCAGACCATTTGAATTGAATTGCATATTGCCATATTCATTTTAAATCCTACTCCTCTAGAAATCCCAACAACTTGTTAGTATTCGATTGAGTGGGCCTCTTGAACCTGTAGTTGAGGCA